AATCTACACATTACTGGTTGTACTCAAAACATACAAATATGAAGTAAATAGGAAACACTTACACCACGAATATCCCAATAGCCGAGAGTGGGAGACATTTCTTATGAGTTATTGTTTAAAATAATAATAATTCAAATTTCAATAACAATATAACCGAATAAATAATGATAAATGCTATATTAAATTAACAAATGAATTAAATGACACGGTTGAGTTTGAATATTGGTATGGTGAATGTGTTGCCAACCGGTCTAAGGCATGCCCACAACTTATATAGTATATAATATATACTGTAGTAGTCTTTCCTTTACAATACTTACAGGTGTTCTCCAATAGTTGGTCCCTAGATATCAAAATCATTGCAATTCTTGTTTTTATAATGTATTGTAAATTTTTAATGATAATGTTATAGTAGAATATTGATAATAGTGACAATAAAATTTAAGCATAACATGAATAAGTTTGTTATTCAATTCTTGTATCATAATTTGTAAAATATAATTCATTATCAAATTGATAAGTGTTCAACAACTTCAGTTATTCAAATAAAGTAATTCTATGTAGCATTAACTGATTATAGATTTTATAGCAGTGAACATTTAATAATTTATAATGCCAATAAAACCTATTGTTTGTCTACTTTATCTATGTAAGTTAGTGCTCCAATAGTGCAGTGCATCTAATCTTAGATTAAATGCATATTCAGTGTATTTTTGCTAAATCTTATTTACTTGCATAACTTATTACATACAAAATTAGACTTCATTAAAATAATATTCTTTTTAATACTATAATTATTTGTATTTTAACATTGAATTTTGAATTTGATTTAAACAAATTCTTTATGTATTATATATAAAAGTATAAAAGTTTTTGTGCAATCAATTGTAACCACCTCTCAAATATAATCTATTTAATATTATAAATGCAATTCTAATTGATATAAAGTATTAATCATGAAAATTTTACAATATAGTAATACTGTTCAAGCTAAATCATTGTATTCCTCAGTGTTCATATTTAAATATTAAACTAAAATAAAATACAGTATATTATAATAAAATAAACACTATAATTCTAATATCCAATAATTCAATTTAAATATCATTTAAATTTAATGTTTAAATCGTGTCACAAATTTATATTCATGTGAATTTATGGAAAGACATGAATTTAAATACATAGATTTAAATCTATACATAATTTAAAAAGTCATGAAATTGTGTAAAATACAATAAGATATATTCTTAGTTTTGACAAATCTTATAAAAAATATTTATAATTCAAATCAAATATATATAAAATCAAATAGTAAAATATGTTTTTTTGTAATTTTATGAAAATTGGTTCCCAAATCCAAAAATCAAAATAATTATTGTAATTTTTTATTAGAGTACTTGAAATTTTAGGTTTACTTATACCGCACTTTTATTTAATATCGATAATAGTTTCCAGTACTATAAAATTAGACATTAACTATACTTTCCAAATGCAAAATGATTAATGATTTGTGGGAAGAATACCATTGAATCGTGTGATTGAATTATAAATATTTTTTATAAGAT